CCATTCTGACATTCAGTTTGGAGTTCAGGAGATTGTCTTGACCAGGACCACACCCCTTAATGCATTGAAGCAACTGCCATGTGTGTCACGATCGCGGGCGAGCGGTGCAGGTAAGCAAGCGATCGGAGCCAGGAAATCAGGAACAAAGGGGATTTATTTGGAAAGCAGGACCGGGGAAGCACGATAGGCAACATTAATGGTGAGTCTGGCGAAGACAGACTCAGACGAAGACTAAATACACAAGACATGGCAAACGAAACAGGAAACAGCTGGGCACAATCGGGGAAGCACACGTGGATAATGAGGGGGCGTGGCACACACTAGGAGCGGACGGAGCGGGGTTGATTAGATAATTGATTAGATAATTGCATTAATGAAAAATTGAACAGGTGTTCCTAATAATCCTTTAGGTGAGTGTATGTTTTGAACCTCAACTACCCTCCTGAACTGAAATACTTTTTTGAAGTGCTCCAAAAAGTTGTGATGGAGCTAGATGGCAACACTATCTCTAAGAAAGCCCAGGTTCTTAAAAACAGACTCTATGAGTGAGTAGTTGCTATGGACCATTTTTCAGTGATACACAAGCACTATATAACTTTTGGACCTCTAATAATGTTTTTTGTTTCCAATGTTACAGATTTGTTATTTTGGCCTTTTAAAATACAAACCACTTACATACTGGACTTTGATACAATATTCGGAATCTGAAAAAGCTTACATAATGTGCCTTGTCATTTTTTCTGATTTTTTTTAAGCTAATAGATTCATTACGGAAGGTCTAAGTTCATTTCCAATTTGTAATAGAGGGATTTTTCTATACTGTGAAAATGGTTCTCACTACATTTCAGCGATACCAGCAGTAAACCAAAGGACATTTTACAAGCTGCTGCTACCGCTACAATTTATAAAGAAGTCAAATTTCTCAAACTTAGCAACAGCTCCCCCAGTGTCTATGTTTTGTTTGATTTGTTATTTAGCCTTGTTATATGGCCTTTTGAAATCCAAACCTCTTACATACTGGACTTTGTAATTGCACTTGGTAACTTGCACTTGTGAACTTTTTGCAATGTTTATCATAGGCAAGATTTGTAGATGCCACTTTAATGGATTTAATTTCTTCTCTTGGGATTTGTTTGTATTTTTTTGTTACGCATGTCATTATTGATTGTATATATTTAAGACACAATTTGACACAAACATTTTTTCCCCAGGAGAAAGCATTCTTCCTTCAAACTTGAACAGAACAGTAGTAAATGTTTATTGTGCTCTCCTGAATTTGGGTGTAGCATTATTGATTTTGTTTTATTTGCATTTTTTCCCTGACAGCTAGTAATAAGACTGTGTATGTGTTCGATGTAACTATATTGTGGAAATACAAATACCTCATTAAAGGACATGTTCATGCCTTATTTGCTTTGAATTTTTGGTGAGTGCATTAGATAGGATGTACAAAATACATCCTATATATCAATATACAGTACATCTAAATATGTATATAATACATTTACAGAAATTAGTGGATGGAAATAATGTGGAATAGATGCATGAATAATGCAGACATTTTAAACGTCATAGTGTAAGCAGGTTAAATTAAATAAGTCATGTTGCTTTAACATGTACTAATTAAATCTACATTAAGTATGTAAGAAGTTTTTAATTAACAAATTTATATTGGTTTGACATAAAATAGGTGATTACATTTTCAATTAAATTATTTTTTTAAATTAACAAAGTCATGTTTGTTTAACAAAAAGTAATTAAGTGTATTTAACATAAGTAAAATGTTATAAGAAAAAACAATAACATTGTGTGCAACCGATGTACATGTTTTTTTATGTAAATCCAACAGACTATTTTTTTCAGTGCAGGTGAGAGAGCCGTGAATACTATCAAACGGGGTTTCTTTCGAACGGACAGGACAAAGGGGCACACACGGCAAAACCACGTTAATGACAGACCTAGGGAAACAGACTTGAACGCGGACTAATATACACAAGACAAGCAGAGAATAACAGGCAACAGGTGATCACAATCGGGAATTAACACGAGGTAACGAGGGGGGCGTGGCACACAGAGGATCGGACGAGCAGGTCATGACATAAACAATTCTTCCAATCTAAATGAACAATGGTCACAAATGAGTGACCCACACTATATTTGGTTTTGTTTGCTGTGGTTTAGGTATGAGTTCTTATGATGTTTTTCTCAGGTTTAATGCTCACATTGTCAATATTTCAATTAAACCTCTAGTTTAAAAAAAACATTTTGGCAGGAAGTACTACAATTTAATAGTTTAGTAATATACTATTATATACTAATAATATATAAGAATAATTGGGTAAAATTGTCATCCATCCATTTTCTGTACCTGGTTGTCCTGTTCAGGGTTGTGGGGGTCTGGAGCCTATGGGCATATGGTAGGAAACAACCAAGGAGGAGGAGCCTCATTGCTGTCATTGCAAGGTGAGCACACATTCACTCAATCAGGCAACTCAAATTCACCTTAGCAGGAAACTGGAGAACCCAGAGAACACCCCACGGTAGCATGGGGAGAACATGCAAACACACAGAACCAGGGCAGAGACTCAAACCCCAGTCCCAGCGTTGTGAAGCAACACTGCACCACCCCTATATGGAAAGCAGAAAATACTAATACAATGACTCCTGTGCATGAGTAAGGGATAGCACAATAAGCTGGGAGCTGTGCAGATGGCAAGAAATGTAAAAGTAACTAATTATGGCAAGCTTATATCAAGGGCATGGGGTGGTAATAGTGGCAAACCTAGATTGTTGTAGTTTTAGTTATACTCTTTTGTTTGCAAGTGGGTATAGATAATGAATGAACGAATGAATGAATATTTTCTATACAATGTACAATGTATTCAGTATACCATATATCTGACATATAGAATATGATGCTTGCTATTTTGTCCATGGTTAAGAATACAACAAAAATGTTATCATCTGAATGAAAAACATGTAATTTAGATTTTTGGTACAGGATACACAAAATCAATTATCAGCAGTGCAGTTCTTCAAAACATAAAATTTTCTTAATGCAGCTAAAATAATCATCAAAGCATTAAGTAGACTGGGAAACACTTAAACACATTCTGTCTTTATACAGTATTATAATTAGGTAAAATATTCTAAAGCTCATGAAGCTGCTCCCCACGGTTGGAATAGATTGGATTTTTGTATTCAATACCTGTTAGAAAGAGGATGAATAAGGCAATCATTATCACATTACATGTTTAACTGGTTTCATGCACAATGTATTACAATTTAATGAGATGCTGTTGGAATGACAAGGATATATTCCCTGGATGACCTTGTCACCCCTCCCCCATTTAACCCCTAGTCCTCCCATTCCCCCCAACCTCTACATTCTCTTGGCCCCTAGCTCATCCTTTTGATGTCAGCATGTGGAACTGGTTTAGTTTTGGTGCAATTGGTCTCAAAAAGATATGGACTTATGGACCCCAGATCATCATCTATACAATGTGCTCTAAAATCAGATACTTTTAGAGGCACTGTCTTCTGCAGCTCCTTTGTTGCCACCTAGCACTGCTGTTTCAATTGTGATTTGTCTCAAAATTAAGCCAGGTGTAGATGTTCATCCATATGATGTTTTGTTGAAGTGGTAAAAAGATCCATTAGAAACTTTTTGCATTATCGCACTAATGAGAACAAGTGTCTGAGCTGCCATTTGTTTGCTCTCACTATGTGGCACTGCTTCAGTTTTGGTGAGATCTGTCCCCAAATTTGATCAGTTCCAGATCTTTACCCACATAGTGTATCTACAAAGATCTGTCAGATACTTTCTGAGTTATCTCACTAATGAGAAAACTGTCTGAGGTGGCACTGGTGAACCCATTCACGTAATACAATTATATAGCTCACAGTTTCACACACTTCATATCTGTAGAATGAAATATCATTATGTCATTGCTCCATATGTAAAAGGATTGTACCAATTGTTTCTTTTACTTTCCTATATGTTTGATATGCTTGATTGTTTATTCATTTGTAGCCACTTAAAGTAACCACAAAACAACAGAATTTGTCTCATATTTATAATAAATGTAAGGTAAAATTAACTAGGACATTGAAATACCTTTAGGGAAAAAACTTACTGTCATTAGCTTTTCTTCTCCATAAGCTCCCTGTCAAGAAGGTTAAAAGCTAGTTATCTTTCTGCTACTGCTCAAGCAAATATTGGTAATATATCTTAATACTAATTTTGTTTTTGTACAACATATATTGACGCAGTCACTAAATAACAGAATTTAATTGATGAATCCTTACTTTTATTCTTCCTTGTTTTGGACACTGTGTGCACAATTTCAGACTGGTTGACTGAAACAAATGGCAACCATGAAAATCACAATTTCCCCTGAAGAATCTACCGTGAAGTGTTTAATTAAAATTAGCTTGCACTAGATTATCATATTCTCATACTTAAACATTTGACTAAGTGATAATCAATACATCAACAAATATATCCAGATGTTTAGGCTTACCATAGTGTTGTTTTTCAGCTATGTGTTGTGTTCTGGAGGTACATGTAGTGTCTGGAAATAATACATATACAGTATGACAGCTTGATACCTTTTGTAATAAAACATATAAATATATTAAAATATATATTGCAGCTCAGAAACAGTGCTGCAGTTCTGAGACTTACTTTGGTATGAATTAATTTCTCTCACACAGGTCCAGCTTGGATCATGTTCATTGTTTTCTGAGATTTCATAACAATAAAAAGATCAAAAACAAACATAAGAGAATGCAACATTGGAAGTAGTGATGCAGTAAAGACCACCTAAACTGAGACCAAGTCCTTACCAAGACCAGAGTATATTGAGACTGAGACAAGACCAAGAGCAGCCCAAGGCCAGATCAGAAACAGACTAATGTTTCAGTCTACATAACACAACACACTATAAAATGTGGAGCATAGGCAGTATCTTGGGGCTAGGCAGTATGCCTAAAAGTTGTGTCACAGTGTAATTTAAACCATGGATGATTTTCAAATATTTTCAAAATTTCAATAGAAATGCTTCTGTACGAATGTACCATTTTTTTTTTTTAATAAGACACACCTTATTCTTTGCATTTCAACTTTGAAGCAGAATGTTTTACTCCCAGTCACAATACTGTGTTAATCCTTTTAACCCTATCCATTTTTGATCATTCCCTTATCCCTTTGATTTTAGGTTTATTACATTGTATGTACATGATTTAGCCACATAAACTTTATGGTTTTGTTTTTGGGACATTCTGGGCTACTCAGATATGTCATAATTTTATGTGTAAATGCTGACACAGTCTTGATATCATCCTTCTTATGAGGAAAAACTACTTGCGCCTATTGAAATTTCTCAATTTTTTGTCGCATCTGATATAAAAGTTTGCAGGCACTACAAATATAATCTTAGAAATGTTGAGATCAGAGCCTCAATGATATGGGAATGCAGGGGTTCACAGGGGACCTTTCTATGGCTTTGTATTGTGAAGGAATACATGGTTAATGCAGGTGGAAATTAATATCTGATTTTGCATCGATTTGGTAACTTGTTGAAGTTATATGATAGATAGCCATGCTTGGTTTTATATATTCATTTTTGTGTGTTACTATATAACATCTGAAAGAAATTGAAATGTAAAAGCATTGCTTAGTTTATGATTCACTGGTTATTACTATGTAATAACTGATTAAAATATTAAAAATTCAATAACAAAAAAACCTATATTTCAAAATTGATAATTTTTTTTACTAAAGTTAACTCATAATGTCATGAACATCTGCAGAAAATTTGTTCTTTGAAATCAGTTATTACATAGTAATTATTCATATGGGGATGGAATATTATTTGTTCAATTTATAGAGCTAGGCAATAGCTTTAAAACAATATGAGGACCATTTCTGTGCAGCTTAAATTAAGGTAAATATATAGCCAGTCAAAGTCATAGTTCCCTACAAAAAACGTAAAAAAATTTGTTCGCCTTAATCTCCCTCAATATTGATCCCAGACACGCCCAATTTCAGTTTCATGAGTTACTCATGTGACCAAATCAGCATGCCAAGGTTCGTTAAAATCCGTGACGATGAGGTCCGAAAGAATTATGATTTGACGTGGAATGACCCAGCAGTAAGACCGAAGGAGATCACTTTCAACAAGATATCTCCCTTCATCAGTGTTTGCTCTCGGCATTTTCATAAAAGCAAGTCCCACGTTTTTTGTTTAAATAATATTACTGAATATGCATTTTTTTGTCTTCTGAAGTTGGTATTGTCATATTGGTTAACCTACGCTAGCAAGCTAGCCTCACTACGGAGGGTAGCAGAAATGGGTTAATCTGTTCGTGTTAAACTAGCGTTACATAAGAACATAAGAACATAAGAAATTTACAAA